ATTTCCTCCCTTTTCTGTTCTGTGCAGCGTCACATGACATTACTTTTAAATGCAGACCGCTGATGCTATCGTCAGTTCTGCTGATCCAACCAGAGGACTGAACGGACTCCATTAAAATTTATATCATGCATCAAGGAAAGTTAGAAAACCCAAAAAGAAATGGCGCACAACTCCATCCTCAGATCAGTGCGGCTACCTGATTGGGTTACAGGTTTTTGTTTGTTTACCTGGCTCAGAATCGATGTCATGTCAAAAGCATACTCTTTGCATTTTTTAAATTTCATTCACTAAACAAAAAAAGTTTGATTCCAGCTTTAAACAAGGAGGAAGGTAAGAGTCTCTGTAGCAGATCCCAGAACTTGCTTGTGTTTCGCGGTTTAAGGGATAACCGCCATGTTTGCAGATGGGGAATCCTCCCATAGATTTCTATTAATGTCACCACTGTGGAAATGCAGTCAAGCGGCGAACTGAAAGAACTTTGAGATCCACTGAAAGTGTTTCTGATTCCATCCATCCATCTCCTTCTGCTTATCCGGGACGGGGTCGAGGGCACAGCAGCCTAAGCAGAGAAGCCCAGACCTCCCCTTCCCCAGCCACCTCCTCCAGCTTGTGTGGGGGAAGACCAAGGCGTTCCCAGGCCAGCCAAGAGATATAATCTCTCCAGTGTGTCCTGGGTCTGCCTTGGGGCCTCATCCCGGTGGGACATGCCCGGAACGAGGCACCCAGGAGGCATCTTTGTCAGATGCTCGAAACACCTCAACTGGCTCCTTTTGATGTGAAGGGGCAGTGGCTCTACTCTGAGCCCCTCCTGGATGGCCGTACTCACCCTATCTCTAAGGGAGAGGCCAGCCACCCTTCAGAGGAAGCTCATTTCTGCCACTTGTATCGGCAACCTCGTTCTTTCGGTCACTACCCACAGCTCGTGACCATAGTTGAGGGTAGGGACGTAGATCGACCGGGAAATTGAGCATCTGCATCACTGCGGCCGCTGCCCAGTCCGTCTGTCGATCTCCCGATCAAGTCTGACTTATTGCCGATATGTGGACCAATCTCTTGCAATAGTTGTATAGGGACTGAATGGCCGTAGCAATGGGCCAGACACCCCATACTCCCTGAGCACCCCCCACAGGACCCCCCGAGGGACACGGTCGAATGCCTTCTCCAAGTCCATAAAACACATGTAGATTGGTGGGCAAACTCCCATGCACCCACAAGTATCCTTGTGAGGGTAAAGGGCTGGTCCAGTGATCTATGACCAGGATGAAAACCGCATTGTTCCTCCTGTATCCGAGGTTCAACTAATGGACTAACTCTCCTTTCCAGCACCCTGGCATAGACTTTCCCAGGGAGGCCAAGGAGTGTGATTCCCCCTGTAGTTGGAATACAACTGGAGTAGCTCAGGAGGTAGAGCAGGTCATCTGTTGATCGGTTGGTGGTTCGATCCCTGGCTCCTGTCTGCATGCCGAATACACTTGCTCCCCACTTGCTCTCCGATGCATTCATACTCCTATCAGAGCTTGGTGGCTCCTTCACATCTGGTGTCCACCATTTGGTGCGGGGGTTACCACCACAACAGGCACCAACCACCTTGCGGCCACAGCTCAGTGCAGCGGCTTCGACAGTGGAGATGCTGAACATGGTCCATGTCCCCAGTCTCCCTCAGAATGCTGTTGAAGCTGAAGATCTCGCGGACTGGGCCTCTGCTAGGCGTTACCAACACACCCTCACTATACATTTTAGCGTGACAGGTCTGTCCAGCGCCATCCCTTGCCACCTGATCCAACTCATTTTATATAGCGGTCATTATCTCCAGGTACAGTTCACACACACAGAGTGACGTTTCTCGTTTCTCTCCCGCAGGCCGAGACTCGGCGCTCTGCTGCACAGAGTCGTTGGCGTTGGTCTGCTCTACCTGATCTTCTCCATCATCGAGGGACTCTTAAGAGTCAACGCTGTGAGTCCCAAGAGCGCTGCAGTACTGTGTGTGTGTGTGTGTGTGTGTGTGTGTGTGTGTGTGTGTGTGTGTGTGTGTGT